GAATTCTTGAGTCTTAGTTTCCAATATTTCCAATGCTGTTAGAAACAAGTGCTAAGTTTTCTTTATTCTCTCAATGGCAAAATAAAGAATGTATAGTAGGCTTGAAAGTTGGAGATCATAAAGCACTTGTTTGTGGTTTCCAGTGGGCCAAATTCCTTTCACAATCTTAAGTTTCTTTTATTATGAATTTGGTTGTGTAAAGCAGCCTGTTGCTGATAAACAGAAATTTGTATTAGTCCTGGGATCAACATGTCTTTTCTTGTGAATTTAGTTGTGTAAATCAGTCTGTTGCCAATAAACACAAATTTATATTAGTTCTAGGATCAACAGTTTGAGAAGGGATAAAATAAGGATTGTCTGAGCATTTTTAAAAGAATGTTGGTCTAAAATAGCTGGTAGAATAAAAATATGTTGTACAAACTAAAATAGGGCAAAAGAGCTAAAATGCAGTGCATGGACTAAAATAACTAACAGTTCAGATGAGTCCAAGTGCTAAATATGTAATTATCTTTCCTATTACCTTATATGTACAAGAGTACTTTTAATTTTTTAAATCCCACGTTTCACTCCTTTTGTTGTTGTTTTCAAAAAAATATGTAGGGGCCATTGAGTCTAACAAAGTAAAAGTTTTGCGATTGCCATTTCAACCTACAGATTGACATTTTATACTAGTAAATAGAAGTGGCTATTTATTGATTGGTAGGTGGTTTGCTGCTATAAATTGAAACTGAAGAAGAAATGAATAGAGTTTGATTTTTGATCGTCTGTCTAACCAGCTCCCTTCCCCAACCTCTTCTAATCCCGTGGTACTCTTTAAAGACCTGTCCCAACATTCCCAGGAATAATTTAACAAATGTTCCACATAGATGTAGTAGCCATTTTAGTGTTCACTAATTTTATGAATGATTATTGCACATCCTACAGGGGTTTAGAAATTGCTCACACTATGGAGAAGAGAGTTTGGGTGACCTTTGATCAGTGTTAGTGCTTAGGTTAGGACTAATTAGTTTGCTCCAGTAACACTGACATGCTTGCTCCTTCTTGAACATCCGGGCATTCTCCTGTATCAACCCTTTTTACACTTGCTGTTCTCTTTTCCTGGGATGTTTTTCCTCCAAATTCCACCTGGTTTGCTTTCTCACCTCTTTCACATCTCTGCTCAATTGTTACCTTGTCAGATTTCTCTATAAAGGAGCTAAATCCCTACTGTTTGAGAGTTTTGAGCAAAGGAGGATCATAACCTGACTAATGTGGTGAAAGGATTGCTGTGCCTGCAGTGATGGGAATAAACTGCAGGTGAAGAAGGGCTGAAGCAGTTAGGGGTGATTGCAATTATCCAGGCTAGAGATAATAATGGCTCAGATGAGGTGGTTGTGGAGGTGGTGAGAAGTGGTTGGACTGAGGATATATTTGAAGGTACAGTCAGCAGGATTTGCTGCCTTGTGGAATGAGAGAAAAAGATAGGAGTCAAGGATGATTCTGAGGTTTTTGGACTGAGAGACTGAAAGAATGGAATTTCCATTTACTTAGATGAGGAATAAATATCAAAGGAGTACAAAATCAGAATTTTGGTTTTAGTCGTAGTAGTTGGATAAATGAAACTTGAGTTAGGAAAAGGTCTGGGATGGAGATAAAACACTGGGGAATCATCAGCATATAAATGGTATTTAAAGTCACAAGCCTGGATGAGATCACCTGGGGAGTGTGGATAAAGGAAAGAAGTCTTGGGGTTAAGCCTGGGTAGACTCTTTTGTTCAGAGGTTGTGGAGCCCAGAGGGACGGCCAATGAAGTAGAGAAGAACCAAGAGAGTGGGATCCTGGAAACCAAGTGAAGAATGTTCCAGGAAATAAGTGATCAGCTATGTCAAGACGCTACTGATAGAACAAGTGATAAGATGAGGACTGAGACTTGACCATTGGATTTGCCAGTGGGTTGGTCACTGGTGACCTTGATAAGCTGTTTTGGTAGAGTGGTGGGGAAGAAAGGCTGACGGAGAGGGTTCAAGAGAAAATAATAAAAGACGAAATGTAGACCTCAAATACAGACTAATTCTTTACAGGAGATTTTTTTTTTTTTTTTTTTGCAAAGTATAACAGAGACATGAGATGGGGCCTGAAGAGGGATATGAAGTCAAAAAAGACTTTTTAAATGATGTTGGCATGCTGATGGGAGTGAGTGAGTAAAGAGGAAAAAATTAATTATATAGGAGAAAGAGAATGGGGACAGTTGTTGGGAACATGTATTCCGTGATAGGTGTTCCCTCCTCCATAGCACTGTACACAGCACTAAAGGAAGACTTTTCTGTTCTTCTTCCCATAATCCCAAGCTCCCACTGGGTTAGATGCCCCTCTTATAAGCACCCATATAACTCTATACTGTTACATGTTGTCCCTACACTTACCCCTTTCAAAGTATGACCCCTTGTACTTAGGTCCAAAGAATCACACTTAACAGGGTATATTAGTTCTAGAGTCCTTGAGGAGCTTAACATAACACCAAAACTATACCTTTCTAGTAATCTTGGACTATAATGGAAGGTAAGAATTTTATTGTGATCTTTCACAAACCTCTTCCCACCCACCTTGATGAGTTTTTGTAGATTCTTAGGTGGCTCTTAAACTATTCTCTCAAATGTTGAGTTTTGAGCAGCCTGCACGTATTGGCGTTCCATACTGAGTACAGCTGTTCAGCCCTAAAGATTAGTTCTGTTTCTCACCGTGGCCTTCCTGGTGGCACAGTGGCTTCTGTGACTCCATCTGGCTTGCCTCAACTTTGATTCTGTCCATTCAGTTCTCTCATTTCTGCCTTTTCTGTCACAGGGTTAGGCTTGTGATGAAGAAGTGCTCTGTCCTGAGCCAGGGGTCAATGTAAATTAAAAGATGTTGTAAGCAGTAAAACAAACAGCAAACAACTATGCAGATGGTACTTATCATTTTTATCTTTTGAGCTCAAGGTTTATATTTCTGTTTGCATTTTCAAAGTTTTAGGTCAGAGTTTTAAAATTAGGGCCAGGATCTTGAAGCCAGTTGCTAGGGTGTTTGTAGGAAGGAGTAGTGACTGTTGTGGAATCTCCTGTAAGAGGTGTGCATATGTGCTTATGTGTGTTCATCCACCCATCCATAAAAAATATTTGTAAATGCTTGCTATGTTTAAAGATGTGTTTTAGGGAATTTGAAGTGCCCGTTTTTTAAAGAGGGGAAAGCAGTGGAGATATTGGGAGCTCTTTGGTGGTCACAATATGAAAAGGATAGAGATCCACTCTTTAGAGTAGTTCTAGGTCGTCCCCAGAGTTCTGTATTCGGACATGAAGTGAAACCCAATATGTCAAAATCCTAAGCTGAGCTGCAGGCTTCCAATAAGAGAGGTTGGAAGACCGGGGACCCCACTAGCTCAGCACCCGTCTTTGTTGCCTTTGCGCAGGTTCCTTGGAACCCCTAGGTGTCTGCATAGCCCAGTTGGAAAACCCCTCCTCTAGACTATGACAGATTTTTTTTTTTGCAGGGAAGGATTTGCCCTGAGCTAACATCTGTTGCTTCCTCTTTATTTTTTTTCTCCCCAAAACCTCAGTGCATGGTTGTATATCATAGTTGTAAGTCCTTCTAGTTCTTCTACGTCAGCCGCCACAACAGCATGGCAACTGACAGACAGGTGGTGTGGTTCCACGACCGGGAAACAAACCCGGGCCACTGAGGTGGAGAGCGGGGAACTTAACCACTAGACCATCAGGACTGGCCCGACAAAGGTTTTTTGTGTGTGTGTGTGTGTGTGAGGAAGATTAGCCCTGAGCTAACATCTGTTGCCAATCCTCCTCTTTTTGCTGAGGAAGATTGTCCCTGGGCTAACATCTGTGCCCATCTTCCTCTACTTTATATGGGACACCGCCACAGCATGGTTTGACAGGTGATGCATCGGTCTCTGCCCGGGATCCAAACCTGTGAACCCAGGCCACTGAAGCGGAGAGCATGAACTTAACCACTACACCCCTGGGCCAGCCCTAAAGTTTTTCTTTTTTTTTTTTTTGTGAGGAGATCAGCCCTGTGCTAACATCTGCCTATCTTCCTCTTTTTTTTGCTGAGGAAGACTGGCCCTGAGCTAACATCCATGCCCATCTTCCTCCACTTTACATGAGACGCTGCCACAGCATGGCTTGCCAAGCAGTGCATTGGTGCACACCTGGGATCCCAACTGGCAAACCCCGGACCGCTGCAGTGGAGCGCGTGCACTTAACCACTTGCGCCACAGGACCGGCCCCTAAAGGTTTTTTTTCTTAAATGTGATTCCTTAGCCTTTCTTATCATAAAAATGTGGAGGGAAACTTTTTAATTTTACATGAATTTTCTCTTTTGAAAAAATGGAAACTATTATTTGTAGCTTAGTTAAATGTTTTAAATCACCAAGCCTCTGTACATTTTTCCTGTAGAGACTAGTTCATAGAATTACTGAAAAATGTTAGTTGATGATAATGATGTTAACAGATTGTCAGCAGGTTAAAATCTTATTTGGGATACCCACTGATATACTGCTCTATGTGAGTAGAAGTTTGACCTTTATGTGTACTTCCAGACATGCTATGAAGGATGGTGATATATGTCATTAGCCTGTGGGTTATAAATATTAGCAAAGTGGTCTGAATGCTTTAGTAAAAACAAATGAATTGAAGGGGCAAGTCTGTCTCTATTGTTTAGATTTAAAAAAATCATACATTCATGTATTCTTTTTATACTTTAAAGAGATAAAAAGGTTATACTACTACATAATTTTATTGCACATTTAAAATGAAGATTTTTAAAATTCTAATTGTGCTTTTTAGTAACTAATAATTTACTGCTTCTTTTTGATCCTTCCTTACTTTCCAACCGTCTTTTCTTGCTTCGTGTTAGGAGACCAAGATTGAAGATGCCTGCATTTTGAACAGGTTGAACTTGTGGCCTTGGCTGTAATTGTCACTTCACAATCGATTTTTGATTTTAATCTTATTATTTTACCTTTCTTTCTACAGACTGGTGAATTTTCAGCTCGTTTCCTTTTGAAGTTGCCAGTGGATTTCAGCAATATTCCCACATACCTTCTCAAGGTAAAAATATATGATTATCAGTATGAGAATATAAATGAGCTTTTTAAGTAATTATTTAGCTTTGAATATTTGTATGACTAGTTTGCCAGCCTTTTGTTCATATGATAAATTCTGTTAAAAATATTTATTGCATGAAGTCCATTGAGTTACTTTGTTACCTAAAAGCTAAAATAGTAGCCCAAAAAGTAATTTCAAAATGAGTTTTCCTTATAAGATAAAATTAGTTTAAGTAAATTAAACTTTGGGGAAAAAAAGTCACGTTTAGTTAATAATTTTATTGGGATGGAAAACTCTCATAGAAATTGTCTAATATACATTCTGTCTTTATAAGTAGGATTGCATGTTAACTATACTGTGCTAAAGGGCATTTCATTTTCTTTTCTTTTTTTTTCTTTTTTGAGGAAGATTGGCTGTGCGCTAACATCTGTTGCCAATCTTCCTCTTTTTCCCTTTTTCTCCCCAAAGCCCCAGTGCATAGTTGTGTATCATAGTTGTAGAGTTGTAGCTCTTCTATATGGGACACCGCCTGAGCATGGCCTGATGAGTGGTGTGTCAGTCCGCGCCCAGGATCTGAACCACCAAACCTCGGGTTGCCGAAGTAGAATATGCGAACTTAACCATTATGCCACTGGGTCGGCCCGTCATTTTCTTTATTTATGCCAGCACTTGATCTCAGGCACCTTCAAAGTTGTGCTGTCCTGGAGAGACCCAGAATTGAGTTAGGCCAGTGTATATGACATCCTTTAAAATGAGCTGCAGGCAAGATGTGGCTTGGGGAGCAGCTAATTTGCAAATGCTTTGCAAAGAAGAGGTGGTACACAAGTGACTAGGCTATGGTTAGTGTGAAAGAAACTAAGTGGACCACGGAGCAAGTTCTGAACAGGAAGCCTTAAGACAAAGGCCTACGTTCATCATAAATGAGGATTTTCATTGTGATTTAAGATTTAACTGGCTGCTCTTAGCCCCATATTTCAACCAGTAGTTATATAGCTTTACTCTAGTGTAAGAAAAATTTCTGCCTTCTTAATATGATGTTGTTTAAAGAATTAATGGTATTTATAGCAGTCTAGAGAGAAGACAGAATCCTTGTACAAGTTTTCTGCATATTGTAGTAGTCAATAAATAATATTAGATATTAATCTTGATAATGATTGGAAGTATGGTCTGGTGGAATATAAACCATAGACTATAGAGAAGATTAGGGAATGCTTTTCTGTTTTTTAAATGTTTTACCCAAGGGGAAAAATTATTTTATTTTCCCCTAAGTAAAACATGGGATTTTTGTGTTTCATTAAACTTTCATTTTGTTTCTTTTTCTTTCTTTTTTTTTTTTTTGTGAGGAAGATCAGCCCTGAGCTAACATCCATGCTAATTCTCCTCTCTTTTTGTTGAGGAAGGCCGGCTCTGTGTTAACATCTATTGCCAATCCTCCTCCTTTTTTCCCCCAAAGACCCAGTAGATAGTTGTATGTCATAGTTGCACATCCTTCTAGTTGCTGTATGTGGGATGCGGCCTCAGCATGGCCGGAAAAGCGGTGTGTCGGTGGGCACCTGGGATGCGAACCCTAGGCCGCCAGTAGCAGAGCGCATGCACTTAACCACTAAGCCACGGGCCCGGCCCTCATTTTTAGTTTCTAATTGACTAGTTTTCCATGTTGAATCCAAGGGTTGTGAAGTCCAAGTGAGAATGGAAGTCGACAATTTATATTAGTTTCTCTTTTTGTGAAAAATATACATATTAGATCTGTGATTACCAAGCATGGGTTTTAGCAATTACTGTGCTCTGTTAGAATATCAAGCAGTCTCCTTGGAAACTCTTAGATGACAGACTCATTGACCTCCATATATTCCAGTCGAAACTATTTCAGCTCATTTAAAGCCAAATTCAATAGTATATGAAAATACATTATTCATAAAATCGCTTAAATCCATAATTTACAATTATAATATCTTTGTTTTGATTTGTTGGGCCTTATCAGTTTGATTGGCTGTCCTGTTTATTTGAACTTGATGTTGTCTCTGCTCATGTTCTTGAGGGTCAAAGGAAAAAAAATGCTTCTTGGATCATGATCTATCTAATTTTTTTCTCTTAAATCAAATTTTCATATTTTCTATTCTAAGAGTTCTAACTTTATATTATTATGCCCTTACTTTCCTTGCCAGTCAGATAGGAGAAAGATACCTATTTGGCAAAATTGGAAAGCTTTCCACCCTCCCCTCCCCAAGGTACTTTGAAATGAATTTTCTCCTATAGATGAAATGCCTACATTGCAGCACTAATGTCTTTGTGGATCTTTAGTTCATGTGACTGCAACAACAAGGACAAAAAAGAGAATAAAACAACAAAAAAAGAGAAACTCTTATATAACACAAAACAACAGCAAAACAAGCAAACAAACAAAAAACCCCAAAAGCAAAAAACCTGCATACCAGAAGTAATCCAGAATGCCTAGGGAGGGTTTTAAGGTCTAAGTTCCTAAAGTTCTTGAATCATAACCTCGGAACATTTGGCTATATTCTTAAAACAAAGTTCGCATTAGGAGCTGCTTTATATATCATTTACATTTGGATGTTTCTAATCTAATTACCAGGCTTGTATCTGATGGTCTAAGTCTCAAACTCCTCAAATTCCTAAGGTTAGGATAGTCTTCACCAGCGTCAATTTAGTTTTACCTCACCATCCCAAAGAAATGAAAGGTAAAATAGAACTTGTAAATATTGAGGAAGCATGAAATTTGACTATATACCCTACTGATTTGCTGCAGTGAAATTTCATTACAATCTGATGAAGCCATTGTCCACTCATAAGTTTATATTTCCAAGTGTACCTATTTTATCCACTAATAGAATTCTTTGACGGTAGAATGAAAACTCCATTAAATATTCAGTGATATGATCTTGCTTAATATTGTACTCTAAGCATATATGGTTCTTACATGGGATAGAGTGACTTTATTCTGAATATAAGTCTTGACTTCAGCGTCTGAATTTTATTCTTGGTTGAGGTAAGTCACAGGGTTAGATAAATCATTTACATAAAAACCCAGTCAGTAAAAAAATACTTCTGTATTAGTTAGGATTCTTTATTTGTAGGTGTTAGAAATCCAGCACAAACTAGTATAAACGGGACATGTGGTATGAATCCTTTGCTTCCATAGTCTATGTAGCAGGAAGCAGGTCCCACATTGGGTAGTCTACAGGCAGGCATAGAACAAGTTTCCCATGTCTGTCTCACTTGGGCCCAGGTGTGCACCCCTGAACTTCTCCACTGGTATGTTAATGGAGAGAAACCGTAGTCCCCAGCATAAGGGGGGATTGGTGAAATGATGAAAGTGTAAGTATCACTGCAGTTACTAAACCAAAGAAAGATTGTTTTATACTTGTATATTTTCTCTTAAGGAAGAGCTAGTCATTAGAAGAAGAGCAGCTAGTCATGCTGCTCTTAATTTTTTTTAGGATGTGGTGAAAATTAACTTATGTATATTCCTGTCTTTATTCTTGTTCTGAGAATTATTGAACTCAATTATTATGATGCTAGAAAGCATTGGGTTTTTTTTGGAAAACCATACTCCATAGTGAGATAACTAAGGAAGAGTTCTCATTGTCTACTAAAATTTTTATCATATGAACAAGAAATACTCAGAAACTAAGAATACAGTGTTTTGGGGAGGAGACAAGCTTACTTGTAAACATGATATGTGTTTGAATTAGCCTTTTAAAATAATGAGCCAGTTTTATTCAGAATATAGTGAAGTTAAAATCCTGTAGTTAGGACCCCCTTTAGCAGCATCATACAGAAATATCTAGGAAAATTACTAGATCTCACTGAACTAGAAGGCTAAATAGTAATTATTCCCTGCTGATAGTGGATGTGACAAAAATAACCTTTCAAAAAAAATCAATATAACTTTGTTTGGTAAGACCATAATAGTTTATATAGTTGTCTCAGTCAGTTCAGGCTGCTGTAACAAAAACACCCTAGACTGGGTGGCTTAAACAACAGATATTTATTTCTCATATTTCTGGAGGCTGGGAATTCCAAAATCAAACCACCAGCAGATCCGTTGTCTGGTGAGGGCCTGCTTCTTGGCTTGTAGACAGCCATCTTTTCACTGTATCCTCACATGGCCAAGAGAGAGATCTCTCTCTGGTGTCTCTTCTTATAAGGCCACTAATCCTGTTCATGAGTGCTCTACGCACATGACCTGATTACCTTGCAAAGGCCCCTCCTCCAAATACCATCACATTGGGGATTAAGCCTCCACATATGAATTTTGGGGAGGCACTGAGCATTCAGTCCACAGCAATAGTCTAAATAGTTGGTGGAGTGTCTCTAAACTAGGTACCATTGAGTCTTAGCCCAGCCCAGAAGCAAGATGGTAACCAATTTACTATGACTGAAGTACTTGGACTTCTAGGTTCTACATTAATCTTATTCGGATCTTGTAACATCACATAATGAGCTCATTCATCCTGATGGATTGCTTGCTGTAGTTTAGTCCCACTGTGGTATCTGAATCATGATGCTATATGGAAATGAATTGAGGGTGAGAAAGCTAAAATAGGCCATCTATGTCAGGATATGAGGTTCTTGTTCTTCTCATCTTTGTTTGGAAGCCACTGTAGCTGTACTGATCAGTCAAGGCACACTCAGCACCAGGATAGTGGAACAGAGGTCAGTGTGTCAAACATAGGCAGAAAGCAGGAATTAAGGTCAGGTTATCAAGACAGGTTCAGGGGCCTAGGACAGACAGAGAGACTTAGGGAGATATCCAGATTGGAATCGTATGTGGTCTAAGAAGGTCATTAACATGGAGGAGAGCATCCAAGGGTCCTTGTGTGCTGAGGTTATCCTGTGTAGGTGCTGCCTCCTCAGCCTGACATTGGCTAGCAGGTTCACCTGCTTAGTCAGTCTGCTTTCTCATCAAACCTAGGTTAGCAAATGCAGATACTCACAGGGCCAGGCAGGTACCGAAAAGGAGTGAATCTGGCTTCATATAA